TTTCTTTGCAAATACCTTTTTTATTTTTCGTGCTTAACGGAAGCAAGTTTAACTAAAGGCACTTCTTTCCATTAGAGCTGCTCTGCAACTTTCATTAAAAATAACGAACGGTAATGCTCTGTTACAAAGAGGGCTGCTTTATATCTCCAGCAAGTCAGCTTTGTTGACTAATGAACTTTAATTCTAATTAAATAGGCTAGATAAGAGTGTGTTTAATGAGGCGACTCATCTGAAGAAGAAGAAGGAGAGGGAAAAAAACCTTCACGAGTTTCTCACTATAATCCCCAAAGTTTGGATCCTGGCGAGTATCGAGATTAATTCACACAGAGAAACTAACCCTGAACTCACACCGAGACTAATTGCCCTTAGCATAATTTTACGTGACTACTATGTAATAGTATTGTCAGACGTCTTGGTATTTCAATATGTATTGATACAAAAATATTTGAACTGATACCACATCGCTTTTCCACAGCGTCAGAACTTGCCGCGCTCTCCATCTAACAGTAAGCTCAATTGAAACAGTTTGTTATGGTGTTACAGCCCACCGCAGTTTAATCTGTCCCACCGCAGTTTCACGTTGCTCATTTATCTAGATTTTACAGCGGCTCATTTCACAGTTGATGCTGTGAACTCCATGCGCATTTCTGGTTTAAAGATCAAGCACAAGATGCAGTAGAAAACTCAATGCTGCCCTGCTGTTTGTGTGTCTCTCAACTCGATAATATACTGTATGTTCAGTTCAAGTTTGTTTGTATATCGCTTTTCACAATAATTATTTACAAAGCAGCTTTAAAAAAATGTAGGTTATTAAATTACAATCAATCAGAAAAAAATAAGGTGTGAGTGGTGTGGATAGTAATGCTGTCAAGCGTATACCTACAGTAGCTAATCTACAGTTATACAATATAATGCACTTTTGTATGTGTAATAAATATGTAACATTCTACATTAAATGCATAACTTTACAATACAATACCTGACTTTAAAACGTTGTCTGTTACTTCTAAAAGTTAAAATAAACAGCAAATTTGTTTGTGGAATTTGTGTGCGGCAGCAGACTAATAAACCCACTATCATCATTATTATGAATCAGCAGCATCCCTGATTCACATCACGGCTGGGCCAGTTGGCGTTTCTGTGTGGAGTTTGCATGCTCTCCCCATGTCCGGGTGTTTTGGTTCCTCTCAAGAAATGCACTTTAGGTGAATTGGGCTTAGTGTATCAGTGTGTAAGAATATTTCTCAATACTGGGTTGCGGCTGGAAGAACATCTGCTTGGTATAACATGCCGGAATAGTTGGTGATTCATTCTGCTGTGGTGACCTCTGAAATAGAAACAAAGGCTAAGGACAATCAATTATTAAAAATTACATGCAGGTATTTAATCAATTGTAAGTGCAATGTGAAACATGTATTTACACAATTGGCACATTGTAATAAATTAATAATTTCAGTGTAAGTGCATATTTATTAAGGTCACTTAATATAAATTAGGACCAAAAAATAAATACTTAAATTAGATTCAAGAAATGTGAAATTTATTAGAATGCTAATTTATATAGTTTATTTAAAAAGTTAAATGTAAAACAACACATATTTTTATTTTATTACTTTATTGTTTTTTAGCTTTGTCAACGAAAATTTTGGCAAGGCCAGTGAAAGTCTGAACAACTAGCCTAGGATCAGTGTTAAAATCTTAAAAGGGGTAGTTCACCCAAAAATGACAATTGGCCATGCCGTTCACCCTCATGTGTTTACTGAGTTTCTTTTTTTTTTCCTGCTAAACCAAAAATAAGATATTCCAAAGAATGTCGGAAACTGGTATTCAATAGCATCCATTGTAAGAAAAATCAATGCCTACCATCAATGCCTTCCACTTTCCAACATTCTTCAAAAAATCTTCTTTTGTGTTTTTTCAAAAGAAAGAAATTCAAACCGGTTTGTAACAATTGAGGGTGAGTCAGCAGTGGCTGAATGTTCAAATGTCTAATGAACAAATTAAAACATGCATAAAAATTGCCAAATTAATCTATTTAATTTATTTTCATCTAGTATCAAAAATGGGACAGAGCAACACATTCTTTGAAAGATGTCGGATTAAATTGAGAAATTCCAGTATATTGACAACACTACTGTGTGACATGTGATGGCTGCGAAATGCCCCTGTTAGATAACAGATTGCCAGTTATTTCACTTCTAATGAAAATGTGAGGGACACTTTGCTGGTGGCACACTGGTGTCTCCTTTAATTTATTTGGTTTGTTGCTGGGCATTTCCGCAGCTGGTCATTATCTTGTACTTTCAGCAGTGCCTTTGCTTCAATCTTTACTTCAACGTGAAGGAAATCTTAATATCCACTGCTCCATATGTACTATAGGCCTACATAATATCCATTAAAATGAGACACTGCAGGCGAAAAAAAAGGCTTCAGCAACATTTTTATGTTCATGCACCTATCATATTTGAGATTTGTTGTGTTTTTATTTAAGTCTAATGTAAAGAAAAAGTCCAAAATATACTTATAAGTGTTTGTTTTGCAGCACATAATCAACTAGTATCTGTATATTTAAATTTAAATGTATATTTACGATAAATTTAAAATTTTGAAAGGATTTTTTCCCAAAATGAGCCATGAATCTTCACTTCAGTAGTTCTAAAAACAATTGTTACATTTTTATTGAAATCTACTGTATATTCTGAAGGTTTTTACTGATGGATAGTTTCAAACATAATTATTTGATTAAATACAACACTTTAAAAAAATAATAATAAATTGGATACTAGATGGTTTTGAATATTTTAACAAATAATAATTAATATTTTATTAATATTTTTGAGCAGAAGTGACATTAAAAACCCCTCTCTAAAACCTTTCACTCTAATATATAAAAAAATGAATAAATAAATAAATTACAATAAATAAATAAATATTTAACCAGCTATTTTGTGCTACAATTGTATGCAAATTAGCATACATTTATTGAAATAACTCTTCATTTGCATAAGTGAACATACATATGTATATGGGAAATTTTTTTGTAAATCATATGTAATGCATCAACTGGGGAAGTGTTTATTATTTTATTTTTTTATTTTTTATTTTTTTCACCTGAGGTGTCTTTCCTTAATTTATTTGGTGGGTTGCTGGGCCTTTCCATAGCTGGTCATTATCTTGTTCCTCCAGCAGTGCCTGTGCTTCAATCTTCACTTCAACGTGAAGGAAATCTCAATATTTGCTGCTCCATATGCACTGAAGGCCTAAATACTGTCCATTAATTCTTGGCAGCCCAAGTTAAAACAAGATGCTTAAGTACCTGGGAATATTTTTATTTTATTAGAAGACAATGTGCAGCAGACTGATATGCAAATCTGTGTTTGCATGAGCTCCCTGGGGTCTGCGTGTCTTATTTGTCGTTTGCTCTTTGCGACTTCCAAAAGTACTCACCCGCTGTTATGCTCAGATCACAGGTATCGTGAGAGAGATTGCTTGTTTGTCTTCAAGAAATCAGTGTTGGTGACTTTATTTGTTCTTTGGTATGGTGTAAATTGATGCTTTGTTGCTGTTTGTGTGGGCAAAGCTGTGAGAATCTGTCTTGTGATTCTTAGAAACAAAACAGCTCTAAGACACAGTAAATGAGAGCCGTATCATTTTTATATCTAGATAACATGTGCCCATCATCTGAAGGTCACCAAAGTTCATTTAAAAAAAAAAAAACATGAAATTGTTATATTTTAAATATTTTGCAAACCTGAAAATAAATAGCAATGTAGATGTTTTAGTGTAATTCTTAAGTTACTAAAATTCATGCTTTTAGTTTAGGGATTTATTCAGATTTAATTTAATGGAATATTATTTTGTTAGTGTGATGGTGTGTTTATTTAAATATCATAATAAGAATAAAAATAAGAATACAAATATATTATTTATTAAATATTTATTTTAAATAAAAACAATTATTACTTTCTATAGTTTGTTTTTGATTTCATTTTTATTATAGTCAAGTTTTTTTTATGTTATTTGTATGTGCTGTGTTTATGTGTGAATTTGTGTATTATTTAAAAAAACAATGGTGTTTTTAATTAAAAAAAAACATGAATATGTTTTGCACATACAAAATATAGACATAAGGTGCGTCGCAAATCACATTACTTGCGCACTATTCTGTGCCATTTTGTAGTAAAATTAGTGTAAGTAAGGCATTCACACTGAAATTCTAAAAACAGTACGTGCACTTTATATACCTGGATGATTCACTTATTCAACTGTTAAAATAAGTGTGGAATGATGGACACTTCACATACTTAAAGGTCACAGCTTTGCTGATGTAGCAGAAGGGGGGAAGCTTTCGGGCACTGATGTTAGATTACTTCATTTAGTTTGAATATAGAAAGCAAAATTCTCCTACTAGAGTGATTATACCGCCAAAAAAAAAGTTTTATTTAGTTTTTTTGTTTTTTTTCGGCCGAAATTTGCAGAAATTAACCGTAAAATAACAACAACCATTAAATTACAGAAACTTATCGTAAAATAACTGACGTTAAATTTAAAAAATGACTGTAAATTTAAGGAAATTTCTGTGATTTAACGTCCGTTATTTTACGGTAAACTTCTGTAATTTAACGGACAATGTTTTATGTTGTTGTTTTTTTTCCAGCACTCCAGCTGCCGGGAAAAAAAGTGAAGTAACAGATCTTTCTTTTACAGTGTTGGGTTACTCTGTTTTTTTTTTTCTGTTTCTGTTTTTTATTCGCCTTTGAGAGTGATTTTGTATAACAGACTTTTTTTTTTTTTAAGAATTAGTAAAAAACAGAAGTTTTATTAGGATGGTGACAAATATGTAACATTTTACTGACAAGAACCGTAAAACATTTTAATTCCACCTTTAAAAACTCTAGCCAGCTAGACAGGTGCAGCTATAGTGCAGTTATAATCACTTCAATACCATTAAAATCTGTATGAAACCCAACAGCTGTATATGTGTGTGTGTTTTTCATCAGACTGTGGTTCAGGAGGCTCCGGCTCGGGATCTGAGACTTGTGAACAGGACCGATGTCGCCGATATGGAGGAACGTGGGACGATGACATGGAGGACGAGCGATGTGTTTGTGAACTAAACTGTCAGATTGTGCTGCACAGCCCGGTGCGTCCCACACCACCATAACCAATCGCCCGAGCATTTGACTTTTCCAAATGTGTGCTAAATCTTGTTGAATCCATTAATCGTGCTGTGTTAACCTCTATGTGTGCTTACGCAGGTGTGCGGCTCTGATGGAAACACGTACTCCAGCGACTGTGAGCTCAAGAAGACCAGGTGCGAAAAGCAAATAGACCTGAGTGTCCAAAGCCAAGGGCCCTGTCCAAGTAAGAGACTAAATTCAGATCCATTATTCATCCTGTACTGTGTAATGTTGTGATGGCCAGTGTTGTTTTTTTTAAGATGGATAAACTTCTGATGTTCTTATTTAGAGGTTTCTGTACATATAATGTTAAAGTCAGAATTATTAGCCCCCTTGAATTATTAGCCCCCAGTTGTCTGTTTAACAGAGTAAAGATTTTTTTCAACACATTTCTAAACATAATATTTGTAATAACTCATCTTTAATAACTGATTTATTTTATCTTTTCCATGATGACAGTAAATAATGTTTGACTAGATTTTTTTTGTGACACTTCTATACAGCTTAAAGTGACATTTAAAGGCTTAACTAGGTTAATTAGGTTAACTAGGCAGGTTAGGGTAATTAGGCAAGTTATTGCATAACGATGGTTTGTTCTGTAGACTATCGAAAAAAAATTCGCCTAAAGGGGCTAATAATTTTGTCCTTAAATTGTTGTTTAAAAAAATTTAAAACTACTTTTAGTGTAGTTGAACTTAAACAAACATGACTTTCTCTAGAAGAAATAATATAATCAGACATACTGTGAAAATTTCCTTGCCCTGTTAAACATCATTTAACATCATTTATCTTTATTTAGTCATATATAAATGTACGATTTTAAAAAGAAGGCATGGCAGCCAACCCTGCCCTGTTGAAAAGCAAATCGTACCAAATTGAACAAACGAGATTGTATGAATTAGCCACTTAATCAAAAAGTTATTTGCCATGAGATCGTGTTAATTTATAGTTTGGATGTTGATTTTACTTTTTCTTTTAGTCAATTTTAAGAAATTTTTTTTTATTATTTAAACTAAATAAGTGAAGTTTATTTATAAACTAATTTCAAGAGGATCCTGTGCTTATGATTGGCCATGGCTGGTCCTGCATCAGCTAACACATGATTCACCAATCAGAGGATTCTTAACTCACTATAAATAACTAATCTTCAAGAATCCCCCTTCCACCCCTCCTCTTTTTTTTTCTCTAAAAGTGCGGCACAGGAGTTGTGTTACTGGGTTAAGTCCTTAGCAGGCCAGTCAACATTTCCAAAGAGCATAGCATCACCTATAGGTGACACTCTAGTGCGATTTGGGAAACAGCCACTAGATGGCCCTTGCTGTGAGGCAACAGCACTACCTACTGCACCACTGCGTCGCCACAACAGCATTTTATAAGTATGTAAAATAAACTATTAAAAGTGCTGATGATTGTGATAGTAAGTGTTGTATTGTCATCTTTTAGGTTGTATCTCAGCTTTAATGCGCTTTTTAAATAAATAAATAAATAAAAACAAAGCAGCTGCTTGCCATCGTGACAGCAATAAGATCCATTGGACATTTGATGGCTTTCACTCTAAAATGGCGGATTCCAGGGCTGCTGCTGGGTGCTGCTGTTGCAATGAAAAGTTCTATTGAGTGTCGCCTCTTGGTCATTCTAAACTCTTTGATGTTTCTGTGTAGAGTAGGGCTGTGTGATTATTCAAAATCGAATCGCAATCACAATTTGAAACGTTACGATTAGTTATTTGTAAGAGGCTGCGATATGAAATATATATATATATATATATATATATATATATATATATATATATATATATATATATATATATATATATATATATATTAGAGCAAATGTGTGACCAGTCTATGTGTGACAGTTGTAGTAGGTAATTGAGTGAGCACACATTCATTCTGCCCGATCAGAATTGTGCAACCAAACTATGCGGAATATTCTCAATAAAAAAAAAAGGAAACAAACAGGGAAGCATTAATAGATGAATTAATATGAAAGAAAAACATCATTGGTAATATGGGAATATTTTTTGTCACAGAAACTGAACAAAAACAAGTCATTTTTAAAAGCTGTCACAAAATTGATGCCACAACTTATAGGTTATTGAGCTGAAGCTGGAATACAAAATTAATCATAAATCAAATCACAATATCTGTCAAAAAAATTGTAATTATATATTTTCCCCACTTTGCACAGCTCTTGTGTGGAGTGTGCATGTTCTCCCCGTGCTTGCATGAGTTTCCCCCTGGTCCCCCGGGTTTCTCCCACCATCCAAAGGCTCAAGGATCTTATAAGCTCAGAGCTCTCTCCTGGAACAGCATGCGAAATTCACTTTATAATCAATCATCAGCTAAGTGTGAAACTAAATTAATGAACTAAACTAAGTTGTAAATAAACAATTAGTTTTAATTTTGAAATTTACTCATTTAAAGTTTTAGATAAATATTGTTTTCTTTTGATTTGGCTTTTTAAAACATGTTAATACTGATCTAATTTATTGTAATTATATTGTTAGTTTCTGTGATTTTAGTATTTATTTAAACAATGGGCGAATATCTTTTGAAGAAAGAAAAGAGAGACAACTATTTAAAGCACAATAATATTTGGAATTGGGTTTTATTTTATGGTTTCATTTTGTATGCATTTTTTTCATGCACTCTAAAAATTTGTTACAAAAACGTTTCACACCAAGACCCATGTGTATTGAATAATGCAGTGAAAAATTATCTTTGTCATAGTGAAATCTTTGTCAAAAACCTCTTGAAAAGCTTGCTACAACAAAAAATGTAATCCAAAATGTTTACTGCGAAAGGGGCGACACGGTGGCTCAGAGGTTAGCACTGTCGCCTCACAGCAAGAAGGTTGCTGGTTCGAGTCCTGGCTGGACTGGTTAGCATTTCTGCATGTTCTCCCGTGTTCGCATTTCCTCCGAGTGCTCCAGTTTCCCCTACAGTCCAAAGACATGCAGCAGAGGTGAACTGAATAAACTAAATAGGCCATAGTATCTGAGTGTGTATGGGTGTTTCCCAGTAATGGGTTCCAGCTGGAAGAGCATCCGCTGTGTAAAAAATATGCTGGTTATGTTGTCATTCCGCTGTGGTGACCCCTGGTTAATAAAGGGACTAAGCCGAAGGAAAATGAATGAATGATTTAATTTTTCTCACAAACAAAAGTTTTAGAGGCAGTGTAAACGTGACTGACACACTGACTTGAGTCTGTATTTTTTTATCAGTGTACGAAAGTCAGTGTGCGAGGACCTGAACCCTGCAGGTCCGTGTTTGCAGAGCGACTGTAGCAGAATGCAGTGCTTCTTTGAGCTTCAGGGGTCTTGTGTAGTCCAGCCCAGAGAGAGGAAGAGCGTGCCTCTGTGATCAGAGCAGCGTTTGATTCCCTCAGGCTTCAGGCAGAGCTTGACTCCACTTGCGCTCACACATGCGCCTGCTTTTCTTCCCTCATCCTTTATCTATGGTTTTCCCCAACTCTTGAGTTTTCTGCTTCAGAGCCTCACAGGCCCTCTAGTCAGATCAGTCATGCTTCTTCAGTGGCCGTGGAAAATAAATCCTTTTGGAGAACTTTCAACCGGTGTGAGGAGCTTTTTGGAATCTGCTTCCCATTGGCTGTGCTGGGATCAATGGAAATCTCATCGGGCCCTGGATTTGATATGCACGCCACCGTCTCCGCTCGCCCATTTTTTGACCCAGGCCTCTGAGAGCCGGCGGGCCTCCAGAGCACCTTGCTGCTTTTCGCTAATTAGAAATGAGGTCGCGGTGACCTCTAGACAACCTTGCAGTGAGGATCAGAGGATGCTGTAAGCTGCCTCGTCCAATTCTGTTGGCTGCTGGTGATGCTTATATGGGTCAAAGACGGGTCGCATCATTTTGGTGTCACATAAATAATTTAATAAAGAGTTAAAATCAGAATTATTAGCCCTCCTGAATTATTAGCCCCCTTTTTTATACTTCACCCAATTTCTGTGTAACGGAAAGATATTTTCAACCTATTTCTAAACATAATAGTGTTGTTCTGTAGACAACTGAAGAAATATAGCTAAAAAGGGCTAATAATTTTGACCTTAAAATGGTATTTAAAAAAAATTTAAAACTGCTTTTAATCTAGCTGAAATAAAACAAATAAGACTTTCCCCTTCTAGGGAACTTCAACACTGCGTCTAACCAGAACGCTAGGGGAACACCTCTTTTATACGCGTCTTGAAGCACATGTGAAATCAATCTAATGTAATTAAGCAGGTGTCGTCAGACCAGAGAGTATAAAAGCCTGTACTGAGCATTCAGTATCAACTTCTTTGCTTTCAAGAAGCACGCACGTGAAAATACACCCTCTTTCTGTGAACTTTCATTACTGATTTGCATACACAAAATACAAAAAAACTGACAACTTACTTTTTTATTTTGGTATGGCAGAGAAAAACTTTAAACGTTGTGTGCCTCCATGCCCTCGCTTTATTACGGCTGGTGACTCACATGATTTGTGTTTAGAGTGTTTGGGAGAAGAGCATGCCCTGGTAGCATTTGAGAATGCTGACTGTGGACACTGTGACGTTCTCTCCCGTAAAGAGCTGTGCAGTCGGAGAGAGTTCTTTAATAAAGCTCCCGTGGCGCACGCTCCTCGCGGTTCGGGTCCCGCTCGTGCTGAGGCTGAGCGTCGACTTCGGTCGTGGGGTTCGCAGCTAAATCTGGCGGATGAGATGGAGACGGACTCTGTCCTTTCTCTCTCTGGATCCGTGAGATCTAATCCTCCGTCGGGAGCGTCAGAAGCACGCTCTGCGGTTTCTTCTGCGCCTCGTGGGAGGGCGGCGTCCTCCGTTTCCGAGGAAACCGAGGCGCCGCAGCAACAAATAAAAAGAGGGTCGGGGAATCTGCCGCCCCAGTCAGTGGAGTATGAGGAGTTAGTGGAGGTGATTTCACGTGCTGCTGACAGGTTCGAAGTAATAGATTGGCAGCCAGCACGTGAGCAGCAGCAGCTGCGTCTGACAGGAATGCTGGATGAGAGAGAATTACCCAGCAGAGTAGATCCTCCACTAAGGGACCTCCCCTTTTGTCCCGAACTACATGATGCGGTTTCTAAATCATGGAAAAATCCGTATTCAGCATGGTTAATGACACCAAAAACAGCTATTTATTCAGCAGTTCGTGGGCTAGGGGAAAAGGCATGTACAGTAATGCCAATGAT